TCTTCGTTACTTCTTTGATACTTTCCTCCACTCCCTTCCTAAAATTGGGAAATTATATTTTTAAAGATGATTGATATATGTATACGAAAATGTATTTATAGCAAATACCATATATCTATATCATGACATTTATTTTGAACTCTAAAGCCCAAGTAATTATATGAAAAGAATCGCGTTAAATTGATGGTATTTAGTATTTAGATATTTCTCATATACCAAATGTATATTATACTTTTATTACCAATAAACTAGGTTTAAATTTGTTTGTATTGAAGCTATAAAATATAGAAGGATGTATTATTTAATTGTCATTCTCGTTCTGTTCGAAAGCTAAGATATTGAAGTTTGTATTGAATGTCTAGGTTTTCGACTAGGTTAGGTCATTAGCTATGTATGTAATTGCTCAAACTTGGCTCAGTTTGTCTGGTATTAATAATTTCCGAATAATATTTTTTGTCTATTGTGGCAAATGCTAAGCGGCGTGGATGCGTTCAAAAACTTAAGTCCTGACATAGGATTTCCCTATATACAATAGATTTATCGATATTTGTATTAACATTTTTTTCCTTTTTATGTTTTTGATTAACAGCGAAGGAGGATTCTTCAAAGCGCATTTATACTTTCCTAAGGAGTACCCTCTGCGTCCACCTCGAATGAAGTTTGTTACAGAAATTTGGCATCCAAATATTGAAAAAAATGGCGATGTCTGTATTTCAATTTTGCACGAACCTGGAGATGATAAATGGGGCTACGAAAAAGCATCAGAGCGTTGGTTGCCGGTACACACAGTGGAAACTATTTTGATATCCGTGATATCAATGCTAGCGGATCCCAATGACGAATCCCCAGCAAATGTTGATGCTGCCAAGGAATGGAGAGAGTCCTACCCCGATTTCAAGCGCAAGGTGGCACGTTGTGTCCGGAAAAGCCAAGAAGAGTGTTCGTAGAAACAGGATTTGCTCTATATATTTGTATATTTATATTAAAAATTTGATACATTAAAATGAATAACTGAATTAATAGACATAAACTCAAGCTCTTATATTGATTATTTTATTTTAATGGTTTTATAACCTAAAGGAGAAAAAGGTAAACGAAGATATATTTGTATAAATCGAATCCTTCAATGAAACAACACCAAAAAGATGGCAAACTTCATATTTGAGTTAACTCGATTTCATGTCATTCTGTCGTCTCGTCGTACTACTCAATGAAGGCAGGAATCATAGTCTGCTCTCACTGATGATAGAGCAGTAGATGGTGATATATCACCGCTATTGAAGATAGAGACTTAGAGCACATACTCATATATTCTGAGATGTCATTATCTCATAAAGTCTTAAGTCCACTAAATAAAAGCGTGTCAAATTGAAAGTACTTGAGATTTAAAATTTTAAATATACACTTTCGTGTGTATTATAACAAAAGCTATGGAGCACAACGTAAACGGGTGGTGAGATGTTCGATATCTTTCTGTCTGTTAAATTCATGATTAAAGAGTTGTGAGTATACTGCTTCGGAGCAGGACGAAATACATCCAATCGCGTAATAAAATTGATCACTACACTAAAACCACTAACAAAACAAACGTGTTATATAGTTACAGTTAAACCAGAATGAGATCTAAGATGAGTTTTACTATGCCATATAATAACTAAAAACATCATTCAATGGATTTAAAAGTAATATTTATGTTGAGGTATGACCTAAATGAAGAAAGAGACAGGTAATTATATATTGAACAAATATATTCCAACTAATAGTCAGCAACCACTAAGTTACAAAGGTAGTTTTATATTTTACAACTAATTCTTTCAGTAATTATTGAATGAAAGTGTATTATAAAAACCATTGTACAGTTTATTTTTTGCTATCCGGAAAATTTTGTAAGCCTGTCAACAAGAGGAGATTATTTTCAACAACAATAATAATTGAATTCCACCTGAAATTTATGTTTTAATTCATGTGTGCATCTATTATCGAATATGTCAATATTCATCGATAGCTGTATCGGGTTTTGATTTGCTTGAACTCGAGTGTGGCCGGCAGGCAATATGGATAGAGTACCTGGGAAGGGGAAATCGTTAAGCCTGAAATAAAGTGTGTTTGGAATAGGTATTTATGTATCGCTTTAACGTTATGTGTCTGTTTGGTTAAACAAAATACAAAAATGATGAGTCGATAAATATTACATTCGATTTAATATAAGCCGAATATACATACAACTTGCGTATGCGTGTTTACACAAAGTTGAAGTTGCGTATGTGTACATAATACATGCATACGTGTATGTAAATTTTTGTTTGTTTTTGATCAGCCACTCAGGTTAACTAAGTACATAGTATCTGTCAAACACTGATTATAAACATTAGTCCATATGTATATACATATATACTCATATATATATGTATGTATATGTATATATTAATTTATTTATTCGTATATGTACATATATTTCTATATGTATAAACATATATTTATTTATACATACATATACATATATATGTAGGTGTTTACATTTGTATTTTTCTACACAAAGGTGATGAATCTTTGAGGGTACACACAAATATTAAAGATTTCAGTTGCTCGTGCGCTGCAGCTGCTCACAGTTCGCTTTTGGCGAGTTAAAGCTTTAAAAGCTACTGCCTCCAGCTTAAAAATTACTTTTAATGTAAAGCTTAACTAGACAACGCGATTCCTTTTAGTCGTTGTTCAGATTTTACCGCGCATTGTATTTTTTTTTTCGATTACAGTGATTAATTAAATAAATTTTATTAAAGTGACAAAATTTGTTGTAATCAGAATCGTAAATCAAGTTCAACTGGCTTAAAGTTTGCATAGTATGTATATGTGGTATAGGATAAGTGTAGCAATTACTAATGTGCCTATAAAATAGTATCTGTTTACTGAAGTACATACATATTTATCTTATAAATAAATATAAAAGGCTTATGTACTTTACGGATATACATATATGCACATGTATCCTTATGACCAAATTAAGTGCCGCACATGTCCAGTGTCTCATACAAACATATTTATGTACATATCTGTGGTAATTGTCTATCAATAAGAGCATAAATGTATATGTATATATACATACATATGTATGTTTATGTCTAATCGTGTAACAACTGTAATGTATATAAGTATGTACCGTAAGTACATAAACGATTAAAATAGTGACCTGTTCGTGAGTTCGCGGCCAGCGACATTCCATCCTGATTATACGATATGTTTGTCTGTGCCTACTTACATAAATATGTAAATAACATGAATGCACATATAGAAACGAATTAAGATACCGAAATCGTTAACATATTGTTGCTATCGCATGCACTTTTTAGCCAATATGAACGCTATTTGCAAAATTGTGCGAACGTTTGTTTTGATTG